AGTGCGACCATCGCTAACAGGCGAGGCAGGGCGAGACGCCGGCTCACGACGCTCTGTAATGGAGTCTGTCTGTTGAATGTAAGGAGAAGAAGCAAGTACTGGGGAGGCTGGCTGTAACTGTGGCTGCGACTGGTCAGGCAGTGGACATAGTAGAGGTGGAGTAAGGTCAGTAGAAGACGGGAGACCAAGAACCTGGTGAAGTAGTGGAACAAAGTACGGTCGCGGCCGCTCAGTGCCTCAAGCACCAGTATCGACAGCTCCAGCACCCCCAGCGCCAGCACCTCCAGATCCAGGGTCTCCAGCTCCAGTACCTGCAACACCACCAGCTCCAGCAGCTCCAGGACCTCCAGTACCTCCAGCACCTCCAGCAGCAGCAACACCACCAGCTCTAGTACCTCCAGCACGAGCACCTCCGGGACCAGCAGCTCCGGCACCTCCGGTACCTCCAGCTCCAGCAGGACCGCCAGCACCGCCAGCACCAGCAGCACCAGCTCTAGCAGCTCCAGTATCTCCAGTACGAGCACCTCCGGGACCAGCAGCTCCAGCACCTCCAGCACCTCCCGCACCTCCAACAGCAGTAGCACCACCAGCTCTGTCAGCTCTAGTACCTCCAGCACGAGCACCTCCAGGACCAGCAGCTCCAGCACCGCCGTTACCTCCAGCTCTAGCACGACCGACAGCACCTCCAGCCCCAACAGCACCAGCACCTCCAGCTCTAGTGCCTCCAGCGGCAGGCCCCCCCGCTCCAGCAGCACCACTTCGAAGGCGGGTGCGCTGAGCAAACCACTCGCGCAGCTGCAGTGGAGAGAGAGGCTCCAGCTGTGACGAGGCACCCGTATGACCTCCAGCAGACACAGTACCGCTAGGCTCAGCACCTCCAGACTCAGAACCCCCAGGCTCTGCACCCTCAGGCTCAGCATTCCCAGGCTCTGCACCCTCAGACTCAGCACCTCCAGGATCTGCACGCTCAGGCTCAGCACCCCCAGGCTCCGCACACTCAAACTCAGCAACCCCAGGCTCAGCACCCCCTGGCTCCGCACGCTCTGGCTCAGCACCCCCAGACGCAGCACCTCTAGCAGCACCCCCCTTAACAGCACCAGAGTCGACAGCTACCTCGACAGGCTCAGCCAAGGGGAGTGGGTCTACCTGATACACACCTGAGGGAGCAGGACCCTGAGAGGGGATGCGGTCTACTGGAGGAGGACTTAGTGCAAGGAAGAGTGGCGGGGGGGGGGAGAGGGGCAGTGCGGTAGGGGAAGAGACGGTAAAAGGGAACCGACTCGTCAAACGTGACGTCCTTAGAGGGCAGGACACGACACGAGGTGGGGTGGTAAAACTGCCAACCAGACATAGGGAATGGCGCGGGAGGAGAGCTTGTCCGTGGAAGTATCGCGGACAAAGGCACGAGATCCCCAGACCCGGAACACCGACGCATCGCCAACCTCCCCCGTCCAATGCAGTGTAGGCGAGGTCTCCGGCAAGGAGACAAGGGGCCAGAGGTTGAGCTGATGCGCAGCGTACCGAACCGCAAACGGCCACAGATTATGGGGAGCAGCCGCATGGATCATGACTAAGCCAATGCGGCGCTCAGCAACCCCATTCTACTGCGGAGCGGGCGGAAGCGCGAACGACTGGCGGATGCCCTCCCCACGACAAAAGTCCCACAAGAGGTCGGAGGCAAACTCGCCACCTCTGTCAGAGTGCAGACGCAGGACAGGAAGGTTCGTGTCGAACCGCTCGCGGAGCTTGAGACGGACAGCGCGGATCCAAGGGATCAAACCATCAGGGACCTCCCCCTTGCTGCGCAAGGGGAAGACCGTGGCATAGCGCGAGTAGTCGTCAACAACCAGCAGAAAGTATCGCTCGCGACCCTGTCCACGGACGCGAGCTGGGCCCCACACGTCCATTTGGAGAGTCTGCGGGGGAGCAGTCGTTGGGGGAACCGAGGAGGAGTGAGGAGCGGCGCGCTGCCGCCCCTCGACACAGGGAAGGCAGGGAGGGGCAGGCGAGGGTGGGAGGGGAGGCGGAGACCTGGGAAGACCAGAGACAAGGAGGCGGGAGTGCATGCCACGGAGGCGTGGCATGGAGGGGTGACCAAGGCGGTGGTGCCAAAGGAGAGTCTGGTGCGACAGGAGGCGACACGAACAAGGGGCTGCTAGCTGACCTGAAGCGGACGCAGACGCAGCTACCGACCTTCCCGCATGTCTGACCAGCTCGGTTACCTGTGCGTATGACGTACTGGCAGCGAACACTACCCACAGACGCCCCATGCTGAGCAAACCACTCACGAAGCTCCTGAGGCGAAGGGGTCTCACGCGAACGCTGCTGCTGCTACTGCCTCTGTCCATAGCCAGAACCTCCCCTCTGACTGGGTCCACCCTGACCGCCGCCGCCACCACTCCCACTGCCGCCACCACTACCGCCGCCACCACTCCCACTGCCGCCACCACCGCCGCCACCAATGCCTCCACTCCCACCACCACTCCCTCTGCCACCACCGCCACCTCCACTGCCTCCACCGCCTCCACCACCGCCTCCACCGCTGCCACCCCCACCACCCTTGCCTCCCTTGCACCTGCCGCTACGGCGTCTCCCACTAGGAGCAGACGCAGCCCCGACCTCCTCAGCACGAAGGAAGTCAACAGCAGCAGCAGAAGCGTAGGAGGGAGCAAAGGGGGAGGGGGAACACCCCTCAAAGAAGGGAGTGCAAGGAGTGCCACGTGCAGCACCTACAGCGACTATGCTAGCCTCAGCTGCAATGAGGTGCTTCTCGAGTAGGTCGACAGTGAGGTCCGTGGGGTCCATGGCGAGAAAGAGGTCCCTGCCCGCGCGCCGCCCTTCCCTGGGCGTGCGCCGCCTTGCCCTGCCCTGCGCGCTTTTCTTCTGCCCGCGCGCCGCCCTGCTCGTCGCGCCGTCCTGCTGCCTACGCGCCGCACTGCCTTACCTGCATGCTGCCCTGCTAGTCCCGCGCCGCCCTGCTTTGCTCGCTATGGCTACTCTCAGCGTTCTCACCTTCGATCCCGAGGGCCGTCCGATCCAATTCGATACGTGGCTCGATGACTTACAACTTTACCTACTGAGCGATTCTAGAGACAGCGTTTCGTTGTTTGACCACATGTTTGGAGCCTCTCTCGCCCCTCCCGACACAGCTTACAGTGCGACTCGCTCACTGTGACTTACCCGTGACGCTGTTGTTCGCTTAGCCGTTCGCAACCACCTGCGAACGACGGGTGGCCCTTCAATAACCACTCAATAATCTACCTTTCAACACTCAAACTTGGATCTCATTATCTATTCAACAATCAAGATCTATAATTCAGGCATGACTCCTTCTTATTCAAGTTACAAAGCTCCTTCAATATAACAAGAGTCTCTTGAAGTAGGTCACTTTCTCTTTCATCATTATCGAGTTTCTTCTTTGTTCAAGCTTATTTGTTTTATCAAGTTTGTCTAATGCTTCTTCATTCTTATCGTATCTTTTGCTTTCAAGCTCCTTTATTAATTTATTATCATATCTCTTTTCTTTCTTGAGTTAATCTTGCTTTTCATTTTACACTTCTCACATTCTCTTTCAACTTCATTGCAAGTTTGTCCTAAAACATTCTCCTTTAAAACCTCCTTCATTCTCAATCAACCTTCTTCCAATTATTCCAATTATCGTACTCGTACTCTCCTCTTTGCCTTTGTAAGGAAAATCCATTTTCCTTACTTCGCATCCCTGCTCAGCGCGTACACCACTGTTCCCGCCAACAGCACCCAACAGTAATCCGTTACCACTCGCGACACTCGCCTCGACACCGTTCTCGCCACTGTTCACGACGCGACCCAACCTCACGGTTCGGTTGGTAACCCGCGCTCTAGACCTCCGCCTCGACATTTCCCAACCTCGGCGCCAGGCCCGTCGCGCACCCCATTTTCACGCATTACCGTTACCACTGTAGTTTCGCTATGTATTTCTCTCTCATGCCTTTGCTCATTGTACTCTTGCTTCGATAGTGCAATTCTAGCTAGATCACTCAATTGCACTCGTAACAGCTTTCAATTTCCTTCGCGTGGCGATCCCTTCCTGTTACGAGGTAATTGAACTCAATCACCCTTCCCTTCGCGTGGCGATCCCTTCCTGTCGCGTGGCAATTTCCTCCATCACGCTGCTAATTCTCCTGTCGCGGTGCTGGCAACCAGGTTACACCTAGGTGCTGCTCGCCAGCAAATCGAAGTTTTGAATGAAAAAGATGGCATCGGCATCGCGACCGCATTCGGAAACGGAGGCGGAACCCACCTCCAAGGTTTGGGCGTAATGCCACTCGAGAAGCTTCTGTTCCCGAAAAGCGAAATTACGTAACCGCATCGGGAACCTCCATCCCCACCTTCCCCCCAAGGGCTTCGAACGGCAATGCAATCGCTGTGCCATCGCTGTCCTTTGAAAAAGGGGGGATGGCGATGGCATAGCTTGGGGAGGGAATTTTGCCTGGGGACGAAGTTGCGCCCCCGCTTCCATATGCCGTCGAGCAGTTCGATTTGGTTTCGAAATGGGGGCGTTCGCCAGGCCCCCACATTGGTTTCTGGTTTGGAAGTTAGGAGAGGCTCGGCAGCATTTTTACGGGCTGACCAGGCTGACGGAGCTTAACGAACCCTAACTGACGGGATCAGGAAGGCGAGACCCACCTTCCTGATCCCATCGTTATCCCGTGGTTTTTGGCTTCAAAGGCGCTGGCGAACAGCCCCCTAATAATCATTCGGAAGAATGAACCAATGTGGGCTTTCTTGACATGCGGGTTTTAGATCAGTACGACGAGCATGCGATAGGAGGGTGGTCAGAAGCTCTAACCAAAGGAAGTCAAGGAGCGAAGCCAAGACCGCCAGTCATTCCCTCCCGTTATAAAGTGCGTTTTGAAGACGTTCGCAAGGTGGTTACCCGAACCTGACTGTTCGCTTCTCGACACCATCTCTGCTGCCTTGCAGCCCGCAGTTGGCCTCTTCCATCGCGTGCGTCGCTCAGCATGCTCAGCGCCGTGAAATTCGTTAGGGTTGACAGCGCTGGTGAGAGAAAGAAGGATAGCAGCGGGCATAAGGTGAAGCCCAGGAAGGGATCGGACGACTCGAGCGACAGCGAGCACGAGAAACGACGAAAGAAGCGGAAGCGGGAGAGAGGCGGGAAGAAAGGGAAGAGGAAAGGGCGGCGCGGGAGTGAGAGCGAGGCGGGGGAGAGCGAATCAGACATTGAGGATGGGCGGGCGACGAGGAGAGCGAGGAAGCGGGAGGAGCGAAGGAAGAGGCGGGGCAAATGGATTGAGGACGTAGCGGACGGCTCAGACGACTCGGAGGGGTCGGATGAGGAGGGCGACGAGATACGAGCTGGCGTGACGGCAGGTGAGCGGCGAGTGGTGGTGAGGTGAAGCATAACGACAGTCGTCAGACAGGCACGGCGTGAGACAGGCACGGCTTGTCACGGATGCGAATGACGAGCATTGCCAAGTGACTCTTCGTGTGCTGGCCCTCTCGCGGCTCCCCTCACCGCTCCCCTGGTTGTCCCCTGTGCCGCGCTCCTCCTCCACCTAGTGCACTGCACCCTGCTCTCCCTCAACGCATCCACTCCATTCCTGTCCGCCCCTCCCGTGCTTCTATCCCCATCCCCAGGGGTACGCCCAGGTGCAGGTTCGGGTGCAGGCTTTGATGGAGGCTTGGGTGCGCGGTCAGAGGGAGCAGGCCAGGGCGGGCAGCAGGCGCGCGAGGCAGCGGGGCTGGAGTGGATGATGCGCGCCCCGGAGCGGCCGCTGAGTGAAACGAGGGCGGTGGAGGAGGAGGAGGAGAAGGGCAGGAAAGAGGTGAGGGGGAAGGGAGAGGCGTTGCATAAGGGTGGGTGCGTCACAGCAGAGCATCACCGTCGCCTCTGCACTTCGCCACTGTCATCCCTGTTTCCTCCCTTTACCTCCTATTGCTTTCAGTGTTTCTCTGCCCCTTTCAGAGTTGCGCTCATTCCTCTCTGGTATGCCGCTCTCGTTGTCTGCGTTTTCCAGCACGTATGCCCCCCGCCCCACCTTGCGCATTGAATGCCCATGCCCCGTGCCCTGTCCCCCCTGCCCCCTGCGCAACATGTGCAGGTGGTGCTGGGAAGCAGTGCACGCGAGCTCAACCCGTACTTCAAGACCGGGGACGGCTTCCCTGACTCCGCTGCCGCCCACCCTGCTGCTGACCCTGCCGCCCATCCTGCCGCCCAACGGCCGGGCTCTGCCCGCCCAGCACCGCCGCCCGGTGTGGGCGATGGCGGTGCCAGCTGGCGGCTGAAGGCCCTACGGCGAGCCAAGGAGCAGGCGGAGCGCGAGGGGAAGCGACTGAGCGAGGTGAGGGGAGAGAGATGAAGGGAGGAGGGAGGGAGGGGGGTGAAGGTGAGATGGCGGGGGATCCAACGACGCGGGTGGTGGCGTGACGCTGGAAGTGGGAATGCGCGTTTCACTAGTGGGTGGGATGATGCCTGCCTGCCTGCCTGGCTCGCCTGTGAGACATCGTGCTGGGGTCCCTGCTTCCCATTCTCACTTTATCCGTTTGAGCCACCACACCACACCGTAACCCGCCTGTCCCTCCTCCCCTCCCCCCCTCCAACCCTCCCCCCCAGGTGGTGTCGGACCGGTGGGGCTCGCTCTCCTCCCTCACCGCCCGCCTTGCCTCCGCCCGCGCTGCCCCCGCCTTCGCCCACAAGCATGCCGCCCGCGACCGCGAGAGGGGCACAGGGGAGGATAGAGGGGACGAGGGGGAGGGGGCGAAGGATGGGAGGGAAAAGGGAGAAAGGGAGGGAAAAAGGAGTAGGGGTGTTGAAGGGTCGAGGATTGAAGATGAGGAGGGGGATGGAGAGGGAAAGGGTTGGAGAGGCAAGGAGGGAGGCGCAAGGGACAAGGGGAGAGGAGGCAGGGGAGGGTGGGGGCAAGAGGGGGAGCGAGAGAGACAGGGAGAGGGGCGTGGCAGGAGGGGTGGGCGAGATGATGGTGGTGAGGAGGAGGAGGACGAAGAGGAGGAGAGGCGGATGAGGGGCGGCAGGAGGGGGTACCTGGAGGGCGTGTCAGCGGGGGCGAGGGCGGGCATGAGGGTGCCGCAGCAGGAGTCGGTGTCGTGGCGCCGGCGAGGAGAGGGCGGGGCACCAGGTGGGAGGGGGGGAGCTGGTGGCAAGGTGAGGGATGGGGAAGGAGGCGAGGGCAAGGGCAGCGAGGAGAGGAAGCAGGCGTGGAAGGGGGTGGGGGCGTGGAGGCCTGGCATGGGCGTGGGCAGGCGGGGCGGGTGGGCCGATGGCGTGCTGGAGGAGGCGGCTCGCAGCGTCAATGCCTTCGCTGATGACGGCGGCTTCCTTGCGCAGCAGCTGGCTCGTGGTGACGTGGCGGGGCACGGCGTGGGCGGAGGGGAGTCAGAGAAGGGGGTGGCGGCGGGGGAAGAGGCGAGGGGTGCAGATGGTGGGAGGAGAGGAGCAACAGGGGAGACGGGGCGGGATTCAGCAGGCAGTGGTGGGGCTGGTGGGAAGGCAGAGGGAGTAACCGCAGGTGATGGGAAGAAGAGTGAAAGGAGGGAGGGCGGTGAGGGAAGGGCGAGTGAGGACGGTGGAAAGAGGGGTGCAGGAGAGGAGGTGGGGAGATGTTCGGGAGGGGGAGGAGAGGGCATGGAGGGTGGCGCTGAGCGCGTTGCTGCGGCTGCTGTGGATGCAGGCGATGCACGTGTGCAGGAGATACTGGCGGGCGGACTGACAGCCAATCAGATGGCGGCAAAGGCCATGCGGCTCAAGCTGATGGGCAAGGCCGAGGAAGCCGACTGCTGGCAGGTGGGATGGGCGCAGGTGGGATGGGCGCAGGTGGGATGGGCGCAGGTGGGATGGGCGCAGGTGGGATGGGCGCAGGTGGGATGGGCGCAGGTGGGCTGGGCGCAGGTGGGATCTGCGTGTTGAGCTGCTTTCATGCACTGATTGTGGTTGTTCTTGATCGGCCAATTATTTAACTAGCCATCACTCGTCGTGATCACCATCCTCATCACCATCCTCATCATCATCACGATCACCCGTGCACCTCACAGCGTGCAGCAGCGGCCAAGTCCCAGCCCCCTCCACCAGCACCACCGCCCGCACTGCTGGCTGCACCTGCCACATCCACACTGGAGCCACGGGCCCTGGGGGAGGGCAGGGGGGACGGAGAAGGGGAGGCGGGGGAGGGGGAGGGGCGGAGGGAGGTGGTGCAGCTGCCGCTGCTGGATGGCAGCGGGCGGTACCTGCCAGCTGTCATGGCGGCACGGGAGGGGCGGGACGAGGTGCAGGCAGGGCGGCGGGAGAAGCGTGTGGAGCGATACGATGTGGAGGGGGGCACGGGGCAGCGGGCAAGGTGAGCGGGATTGGGGCAAGGTTGAGGGGGATGGGGTGAGGTGAAGGGGATGATGGCAACAAGGGATTGTTTTGTGGCTTTCCAGTGTTGGAAGGTTGAGGTGAGAGGGGGGATGTTGAAGTGGGAAATGCTCAAGACAGTGTCCCTCCCGCTGTTGGCCTTGATTTTCCTCTTATAGCCCGAGTTTCCATCGTGCCTGTCTGTTTTGGCTCCTCCGCGTCAGTTCCATACTTACCTGCACGGCACACGGACCGGGTTTTCTTGGCCCCTCCTGTTGCTGTAGCGCCCGCCCTCCTTGTGCCGGCCCTCGGTCAGGCTTGGTTGCTGCACGCATGGTAGACTGTGGGCTAGGTGTGGTGGGCAGAGGGGATGGACATGGGATGGGAGAGGCAAGGGGAGGAACGGATGCCCAAGGGCAGGGAATGGCAAGCAAGAGCAGCTCAACCTCATCTGCCATTCCTTCTCTTCCTTCCGCCCCTCCTTCACTTGACTATGCCCCTCCTTCACTTGACTATGCCCCTCCTTCACTTGACTATGCCCCTCCTTCACTTGACTATGCCCCTCCTTCACTTGACCATGCCCCTCCTTCACTTGACCATGCCCCTCCTTCACTTGACCATGCCCCTCCTTCACTTGACCATGCCCCTCCTTCACTTGACCATGCCCCTCCTTCACTTGACCATGCCCCTCCTTCACTTGACCATGCCCCTCCTTCACTTGACTATGCCCCTCCTTCACTTGACCATGCCCCTCCTTCACTTGACCATGCCCCTCCTTCACTTGACCATGCCCCTCCTTCACTTGACCATGCCCCTCCTTCACTTGACCATGCCCCTCCTTCACTTGATTATGCCCCTCCTTCACTTGACCATGCCCCTCCTTCACTTGACCATGCCCCTCCTTCACTTGACCATGCCCCTCCTTCACTTGACCATGCCCCTCCTTCACTTGACCATGCCCCTCCTTCACTTGACTATGCCCCTCCTTCACTTGACCATGCCCCTCCTTCACTTGACCATGCCCCTCCTTCACTTGACCATGCCCCTCCTTCACTTGACCATGCCCCTCCTTCACTTGACCATGCCCCTCCTTCACTTGACTATGCCCCTCCTTCACTTGACCATGCCCCTCCTTCACTTGACCATGCCCCTCCTTCACTTGACTATGCCCCTCTCACCGGGAGCGCCCCCGCCCGCCCTGCAGGTACTTCGCGAACGACGACGGGGCGTCGCTGCGGCAGCTGGTGGCGGCGGAGCGGGCGGGCGGCGCGGATGACCTGGGCGGCTGGGATCGGCGCGTAGCGGCAGGCATCGGGCGGGCGGGCGGGCGGTACAAGGGACCGGTGGCGGTGGATGATGAATACGACTGGGATGAGGGGCTGCAGGCAGGCGGGGGAGGAGGGGGGCGGAAGAAGGGCAGGTGAGCTGAGCTGCATGGGCGAACGGGAGTGTCTGGTTGGTGGCTGTGCTCCGTGTGCGTGGTGCTTGCCCCATGCTTCTCGCCCCATGCTTCTCGCCCCATGCTTCTCGCCCCATGCTACCTCACCTTCCACTCACCTTGGCTCTCCCTTGTGTCAATCTCTCATCCGCTCTGCCCACACCCCCCTAGCAGGCCGTCACAGCAGCAGAGGGAGAAGGCGGGGCAGGTGGGCGAGTACAGGCGCCAGGCGGCGGTGCAGCAGCGCTGCCAGCAGTGCATCGACAGCCCCGCCCGCCCTCGCCACCTCGTGGTGTCTGTTGCCGCCCACAGCTACCTCATGCTGCCGCCCGGGGGCTCTCTGCTGCCCAACCACGTGCTCATCGTGCCGTCCGAGGTGAGCCACGCCTTGCAGCGGACCCACAAGGTGTCCCTCACACTCACAACCCCACAAGGTGCCCCTCACACCCAAAAACCCTGCTACAATGCCCATGCATGGTCCATGCCGCATGCCTTCTTAGCAACCTTTTGCTTGGCAATTATTGATAATTGCAGCCCTCACACTCGCTCATCCCCTCCGCCACTTGCCCCGCCCTCCTGGTGCTGGCAGCACGAGGGCAGCATGCGGGTGGTGGAGGAGGCGGTGTGGGACGAGGTGCGCAACTTCAAGAAGTGCCTCACGCGCATGGCCATGGCGGTGGAGGAGGGCGCGGGGGTGATCTTCCTGGAGAGCGCCGTGGGGGTGGGGGGAGCGGGGCGGCAGCGCAAGCACTGCTACGTGGAGGCCATCCCCGTGCCCGCTGCTGTCATGGCCCAGGCTCCGCTCTACTTCAAGAAGGTGGGCCGGGCGGGCCCCAATGGCACGTGCACTGACGTGTGCTTTCCCTCCACTTCCACCTCCTACGCGCCTCAAAGTGGTGGATGGTTTGAGGCGGGAAGCTTGCAGACGGGGAAGTGTGTTAAGGGAAAAGGGGTTCCGTGGCGTGAGGTGTACTGAGATGGAAATGACTGCCCACGGGCGCACTGCGTGAGTGGCTGGACAGGTGTGGGTGCAGTGGCGGTCGGGACACGTGTCTCTGCTGGGTTGCACGGCGCAAATGCTCGCGCAGTGCAGCGCGCTTCCCTGCCGGGCAATGGCAGGCCACACTGTGAGAAGCCCGTCTGGGAAGGGTAGCTCAAGTGCTGACATATAGCTGTCCTGCACACAGATGCCTACTGCCAACCGAGCTATGTGATCACAATTCAAGATGCCCCGCACTGGCTAATGTGTCTTTCCCCCCCCTCCCTTCTCCTCCTCCCTCCTTACCCCCGCCCTTCCCCCTTCTCCTTTCCTTTCCCCCACGTGCTGGGTGCGTTAGGCGTTGGACGAGGCGGAGAGCGAGTGGAGCCAGCAGCACAGCAAGCGCATCCTCGACACGCGCGCCATCAGGGGCGGGCTGCGCGGCGCCATCCCGCCCAACTTCCCCTACTTCCACGTCGAGTTCGGCCTGCAGGTCAGCCCCCCCCTCTGCCCGCTCGCCATGCTCTGTGCCTATGTGTTGCTGCATCAGTGTTGCTGAATCCATTGTTTGTGCATGACGCTGGCACATGGTGTATAGGGCATGGCGGTTAGCACATGACACGTGGAAAGTGGCAGATGATGCATTACACATGGCACAGAGCGACACACACCCCCCTTCTTGTGTAGCAGATGGCACATGCCACATGGTACATGGTACATGGTACATGGCACATGCCACATGGTACATGGTACATGGTACATGGCACATGGTACATGGTACATGGTACATGGCACATGCCACATGGTACATGGTACATGGTACATGGCACATGCCACATGGTACATGGTACATGGTACATGGTACATGGTACATGGCACATGGTACATGGTACATGGCACATGGTACATGGTACATGGTACATGGTACATGGTACATGGTACATGGCACATGGTACATGGTACATGGCACATGGTACATGGTACATGGTACATGGTACATGGCACATGGTACATGGTACATGGTACATGGTACATGGCACATGGCACATGGTACATGGTGCATGGTACATGGCACATGGCACATGGTACATGGTACATGGTACATGGTACGTGGTACATGGCACATGGTACGTGGTACATGGCACATGGTACATGGTACATGGTACATGGTACATGGTACATGGCACATGGCACATGGTACATGGTACATGGTACATGGCACATGGCACATGGTACATGGTACATGGTACATGGTACATGGTACATGCCCACAAGGCACTTGGCACACAGGCAGGCGGTCGAATCAGGAGTACCAGCAGGCAAGACCAGCAGCCATGACCACGTGGCCTCATCGTTTGAAACGCCCCCTTCAACCCACCTGCTGCTCATCCCATCCCGCTCCCTCCCTGGCAGGGCGGATACTGCCACGTGATTGACGACGAGAGCTCCTTCAAGGCGTCGTTGGGCCGCGATGTGATCGCCGGCATGATGGAGATGGACCCTCAGAGGTTCGGTGGGCGCGCGCGCGCCAGAGGGGGGCGCGGAGGGGTGGGGTCGCGCCCGCAGGAGGTGCAGCAGAGCGTTGCCAAGTTCATGGAGAGCTGGAAGCCGTTTGATTGGACCAAGATGCTCGATGGGTGACGGCCTTGCTTGGATGCGCATTGACGCAGTTCATAATAAAGGATGTGTGAAAGCTGCAAGTGAGGTGATGTGTCCATTCAAGGGATTAATTCTGCACTTTGCATCTTCTGTATGGTATCAACCTCAAATCTATGAGATTCAAGCAGTAAGTGAACGCATAATCAGCTTGATGTCCATTGTGGCAAGCTGAGTGTAGGGCTGGTTGCGTCCTCGCTATAGCACTTTCTTTGGTTGCCACATAACTACACATTGTCGCTATTCCAATCGTTGGAACATGCTACTTCGGGGTTGAGGTTTGTCCTTGCACTCATGCCGAATGGGGTTCGGGGAGGTGGGGGCTAGACCCGAGACGCGCTAGTCAATTTTTGCCCTGAAGCACCAAAAGCGAATTCCGCCCATACGTCCATACTTAGGTACGTGTTTCGTCGCATCAAGCAGGAAGCCACCCACCCCATGAGCGCATTAGTACCGCATCCAGCAGCTTTGACACGAGCAAACAGAGCATACATGCGCTGATTCCCGTATCATCCTTCGGGGTTGCTATTCGTCCCCATTCCGCCAGTCTCAGCAGACTGTTTCTGTTCTCGTGTTAGCGAAACCCTCACCGCGCGATGATGAAGAGCGCGCGCCGTCGCGAGAGCTCGCGCCTGCTGTCGCTCCCCGACGAGCTTCTCGAGCCCATTCTCGCGCGCGTCGACCATCCGCGCGACCGCTGCAGCGTCGCGCTCTCCTGCTCGCACCTCCGCCGCCTCTCCCCATCAGAAAAATGTGGAGGGCGTTTCGGGCGGTAAACGCCCTCCTATGCCTAGTTTGTGTTGTGCGGATTGTGATTTACTTCTACGGCAATAAACCACCCAGGGTATTGCCCTTTGTGATCCGAAAACGGAGGGGGGTCCGAACCAGCATAAACTCCCGTTTGTTCAGCTACAGTGTCAGGGTGTAAGCTGGGGTTGATTGGGTTTGTACGGTCGTATACGATCGTACACGACTCGGGAGTTCAGGGCGTAGAGGAGGTGAGGGGTCCACTGCGATTTGCACCTCCCTCAATTTATGGCGAGTTGACCTGTGCGAACCACCGTTTACGATGGTCAACCTTCCCCAGCAGAAACGCGCAAAGCGCTACTGTTACTGCCTGGTAACCAGTTTTGGTTACCTAACAGTAATACACTTGAAGACACTATATTATTGTTAATAATTCTAATGGTAAGAGTGGGGTATCCTGGTAACCAGATTGGGGTTACCTCACGTGCCAACATAAGCATTATTTAAGATTGGACGGTAATTTGAAAAACAGTGCTTGCATTATTTGGTTAAAGCCCTACAAAGATTTTACAGACCCCAACTCTGATGATAGGCAGATTATTATTTAACAGTGATTAACAATAAAAACTTTAGACTGAAACAAGCATCCATGTAAGATCCTAACCAGAACACCCCAGCTAACAACACCCCAGCTACTTCGAAGGCAGAAGTCAACTAAATATCATCACAGAAACCACAACAAAAACACTAACGAAAACAAAATCACGAGTTAAAACGTCAAATGAGATACTTCAAAGAAATGACAGAAACGAGTTATACGCAGTGACGGGTTAGGGTATCTTACGACGCACGAGCATACGGTTGAAACGAGTTGAGCAATAATCAGTCTGTTTCACAAAGACAAGACGAAGATAGCAGTTAGCTTCGAAGGCAACTTACCGAAGAGAAATATCCGACCTGCGAGCCGCACAAACGATCCGGTGAAACCACGAGATAAGACAGCGAAGAAGGTAGGTGTGGGGTGAACGACGAAAACAAACAGACAGCATTAAGAAAAAAACGTGAACTGAAACCATGAACTACAGCAGCTTTAACATTAAAGCCCGGGGTCAGCATGGTAAATTTTCAAGTTATGTGGATTTGAAATAGGCAGTAGGTGAGGGTGTGCGAAACCTATTTCGGTTGTGTGGCTGTGGCGAGGATTATGTTCCTCCGCGAGCACGTTTGCATTTCGCTCACACCAAACCAGCGATACCCACTGACCCTGTGCGAAAATTTGAGTCGCATGAACAGATACTTTATCCAATCAGAAGCTTTCACACTCTTACGAATAGCATAGAAAATGTGGCCGAAGTTTCCACCTCACCACTGACTCAACTCGCCTCTACTAACGGAGAGTAGTAAAACATCGCCGCACGAGCTACTAACAACACCCACTCAGACTCAAATCGGTAAATCGATGCGACAAAGGAAACGTGTTCGACACGAGGCTCACCTCAGTATACTGGCGACGCGATTATCTCAGGAGCTGTCAACAACACAGCGGAGGGGTGTGTAGGAACGTGCAAGCCCAAAGGGGACATACGGGAAACGCGCTTGTTGAGGAAGCATTGGAGAGTTGAGGAAATGAGCGCCGCGCTCTCGCGCTCGCGTGCCTACTAGCGACACGGCGGTGCGGTTGCAGCTCCGCGCGATCGGCGAGCCAATCACGCTCTTAGGCGAGCGCGAAATGGAGCGGCGCGACCGACTTAGGTCGTTCATGGCTAAGCTAGACGCCGAGGGGCGGCTCGACGAGCTTTACGAGGCGATCGAGCGGCAAATGCGGACAAAGCAGGGAAGGCGGCGCGGAGGTTCTCGAAACGGAGGATGTGCCTCAAGCGGAGTTGTTTTATACCAAGGGGAGCAAGGAGCTGCTGCTGGCGCTGCAGGAGATTGCGGTGTTTTCGCTGCCCCGGGCAGGGTTAAGGGATTCGGCGTGCGAAGCGGCGGCGCGAAGATCCCGATGAGGACGAGGAGGAGGCGAAGGAGTTGATGGCGCGGTGCAAGGAGTTGATGGCGCGGTGCAAGGGATGAGCATGCAGGTCGGTTGAGAGCTGTACCAAGCGGTGCAGGGAATGATAATTCAGGTGAAGGATCCCAATGAGGACGAAGAGCGGAGGCGAAGGAGTTGATTGGCATGGTGCAGGGGATCAGCATGCAGGTGGGTTGAGAGCGGTACTGGGTGGTATCAGAGATAAGCGACGCGCGCCCCATCCCGCCTGTTCCCTCTCCCCCGACGCCTCTCTTGTTGCCACGTCAGGGTGGAGCGGCGCCTGCCGCCTCTGCTCGCTGCCAGCTGTGCTCGCTGCCAGCTGTGCTCGCTGCCAGCTGTGCTCGCTGCCAGCTTCTTACCCTCATACTCGCTGTCCCACCCACCACACACCCCTCCCCCCCCCCCCCCAAACCCCCCCACACCTCCACAGGTATCAGAGATAGGCGACGAGCGCCCCATCTCCACCTGCGCACTCTCCCCCGACGCCTCTCTCCTCGCCACCTCCGGGTGGAGCGGCACGTGCCGCCTCTGGTCGCACTCAAACCTCCTCCCCACCCCAACCCACGCCACCCCACCCCACCCCACCCCCCGCAACACCCACGCCACCCCCCCGTCCACAGGTATCAGAGATAGGCGATGAGCGCCCCATTTCTTCCTGTGCTCTCTCCCCCGACGCATCTCTTGTCGCCACCTCGGGGTGGAGCGGCGCCTGCCGCTTCTGGTCGCAGCCAGCTGTGCGGGCGGCGGGCGCACTGCGCAGCCACTCAGAGCGCGCCACATGTGTGGCCTGGCACCCCCACGCACTCTCCTCTCTCCCCGCCTCCGGCCCCAACCTTGCCACGGCTGGTGCTGACAGGTACGACAGGTGCAGGAATGGGGGGTAGGTCTAGGACTAGGAGTGGGATAGGGGCAGGCTCACTGCTGCCTATCCACTCGCACCCCTACACGCGCTCCCCACTCCCTCCCTCCCTCCCTGTTTGGTTATATCCCTCATTCCCTGTTCTCCCCGGCCTTCCTGTCTTCGATTGTCCCCCCTTCCCCCCGTCTATCCCTCATGCTGTGTTCCCCCTGCCCTCCCTTCTCCTCCCTTTTCAGCTCCTGTATGCGAATTCTCCCCCAACATATACCACACTAGCCACAGGAGTGGAGGACCACTCATGCCGCATGTGAGATCTGAGGCGATGCAGGGAAGCACGCATTGACCCTTATTCACTCCCTGTGCTCCCTGTCCCACCCTCCCTTGCAGCTGCTAGCGTGCGACTTTTCCCCCAACGGGTACCATCTAGCAACAGGAGGGGAGGACCACACATGCCACGTGTGAGATCTAAGGCGATGCAGGAAAACAGGCTGCACCCCCGAATCCCTCACCCCCTCTCCTGTGCTCCTGATCATCGTCCAATCTCCTCACTTGCACCCTTCCTCTCTTCCGCACTTCCCCCTTTCCTCTGTCCCGCCTTTCCTCCCTTGCTTCCCCTCATATACTTTACCCCATTTCTTCCCCTCATTTTCCCCCCTGCTTCCCCTCATTTCCTCCTGTGCTTCCCCTCATTTCCCCCACTGCTGCCACTCATTTCTCTCCCTGCTTCCCCTCATTTCCCCCACTGCTGCCACTCATTTCTCTCCCTGCTTCCCCTCATTTCCCCCACTGCTGCCACTCATTTCTCTCCCTGCTTCTCATCATTTTTCCCTGCTTCTCATCATTTTTCCCTGCTTCTCATCATTTTTCCCTGCTTCTCCTCCTTTCCCTCCCTGCTTCTCATCATTTCCCTCCCTGCTCTCCCATATGTCCCATATCTCCCCTGTTTGACCTTTTTCTTTTCCCCCTCCCAATCCCTCTTATTGTCTCCCTCTTCCTCGCTATTGCAGTGAGTACACTGAAACTCGCCTCAGCCCATCATCCCATGCCATGCTCGTAGAGAAACCAGTTCCCCTCGTGTTTTTTCGAGGCCTTGAGAAAGGTACAACAATCAGAAGTATTAGGAGCATGCCTCTATGTACCCTTCTGACACTCTTAGTGTCCATGCATCTTGTAAGAATATGTTGCACTGCAGAAACAAAAGTACATATTGTGCCTTTGAGATGGATATCTCCAACAGTAATGGCTGCTCTATTGTTGCATACAACACACAAGAATCAGGCGGTGCTACGGTGTAAAGCATCGACTAGCTGCGCCTCAGCTTGCTCCTCTGCTGAGTAGGGGAGTGGAGTAAGCAGAAAGAATTGTGTGAAGAAACATGGGGGAGGTGGTGTGAGGTGCAAGGGAACAACGGCAAGGGGATACAAGCAAGTACACATGATGAAAGCATGTATGGGGAGACAGTGATGGGTGCACATGCATGGGAACGAGAGTGCGGAAGGGGGGAGGGCATGAAAATGAAGGGAAGGGTTGAGAAGGGATGGGGAAGGGAAAGGCAGGGCAGGGAGGGAAAGGCAGGGATGGGGAGGGCAGGTGGGAACAGGGCAGAGGGGGGAGGGAATGAGGGAAGTGGATGGGGGGAAGCAGGTTGGAGGGAGGGGGGAAGCAGGGCGGAGGGAGGGGGGAAGCAGGGCGGAGGGAGGGGGGAAGCAGGGCGGAGGGTGGGGGGAAGCAGGGCGGAGGGAGGGGGGAAGCAGGGCGGAGGGAGGGGGGAAACAGGGCGGAGGGAGGGGGGAAGCAGGTCGGAGGGAGGGGGGAAGCAGGGCGGAGGGTGGGGGGAAGCAGGGCTGAGGGAGGGGGGAAGCAGGGCGGAGGGTGGGGGGAAGCAGGGCGGAGGGAGGGGGGAAGCAGGGCGGAGGGAGGGGGGAAACAGGGCGGAGGGAGGGGGGAAGCAGGTCGGAGGGAGGGGGGAAGCATGGGGGAGGTGGTGTGTGTGGGGGGAAAGGGAGGCGGACAAGTGGGGGGAATGCTGGTGGTGTGTGGGGGGAAAGGGAGGCGGACAAGTGGGGGGAATGATGGTGGTGTGTGGGGGGAAAGGGAGGCGGACAAGTGGGGGGGATGCTGGTGGTGTGTGGGGGGGAAGGGAGGCGGAAAAGGGGGGGGAATGCTGGTGGTGTGTGGGGGGAAAGGGAGGCGGACAAGTGGGGGGAATGCTGGTGGTGTGTGGGGGCCTTCGCTACCAACGGGGAGTGGCGACTTGGATAGACATGGGGATAAGGGGAAGTGCGTGTGGATTGGGGAAACAGAGACGACAACGGGAGGCGAGGGCGTTGAGAAGCAACGCAAGCGACGAGGGAAGAATGAGGGAGATTCGGGTAAGCGTTTCACACGCGGGAAAGAGCGCGAGACGCGGGCAAGCGGTGATGATGCGGGAAAGCACGGGTGACCTCGGGTAAGCGCGGGAAACGCGGGTACGCGCGGGAAACGCGGGTACGCGCGGGAAATGCGGGTACGCGCGGGAAACGCGGGTACGCGCGGGAAATACGGTTAAGCGCGGGTAAGTGGGGATGACGCAGGTAAGTGCGGGTGACGCGGGAAAGCGCGGGTGACGCTGGAGAGCGCGGGAAACGCGGGTAAGCGTGGGAAGCGCGGGTGAGCGTGGGAGACGAGGGCAAGCTCCGTGACGAGGGGAAACGCTTGCGACGAGGGAAACATTGCGCGACGAGGGGACGCGCGGGCGACGAGGGCATGCGCGAGTGCAGCAGCGCTCGTAACGTGGGGTTGCGCGAATCGCGAGGGAAGCGCGGACGATGAGGTGATGCACTCGCCACATACTAAGTGTGGGTGTCTAGACGAGGCGAGGATGTGGCCTGAAGGCGGATCGAAGCAAAGAGTTTGTTGAGCGGGCCATGCTATGCTGGCCAATGCGTTGCGGGGGTTGTCATGGAGGTAACCAGCAGCCTTTCCCCTCCTGTGGTGTGCTAGAACGGGCGTCCCGTGGCCGGCATGCGAAAATGGGAGGGTAATAGCGTGTTTGGCAAGAAGCGGGTGTTGCTCAGCTATTGGCTTGACAGCGGGAGTGACGAGAGCTGGACGGAAAAAAAAGCTTCAACCTAGACTAGCTTTTACCGCCCTGCCGCGCGTTTCCTAGTTACGTGCCTACCCTAGTGGATTAGGAGTACTACTTGGTCGTCAAGTTATGTGAGAGGTGACCACGACAAGCTGGTGGGCGATGTTCGGATCTGTTGTGCGACTGGGCACAGGAACCAATCAGGAATGACCGTCGCAAGACGTTTTCCCTGGGTCGCGAGAGTTCTTTCAAAAAGAAGAGGGTAACCCTGTTTTTAGCGACTTCAAGTTCAAGAATCTTGAACTTGAAAAATACCATGCTGGACCCGGGCTTTAAGAAGACGCAACGCCAAAGGCAACACAAACCACGATCGCTCACCTGGTAACAAATAACGCTTCAGTGTCAGACCGTCGCAGCCATTGTAATTAACGGACTAAATACGCGGGATACGAGCTGGAAAAAAAAAAACCGCTCGACAAAATTAAGGTGTTGCTTGCGTGGCGAGCAGAGTCGGTACTAAAGAGCCAGGGAACTCGCTCGAGAGGGAAGGTGTTGCTGGAGAGGCGTTGCGGGAGAGGCGAGCGGAAACAGAGAGAAAGATTGCGTAGGTGAGAAAACTGGCTCGACAGAGAGTGTGTAAGGACCGACGAGCAGAATCAGAATGAAAGAGACTCGCGAAAGTGAAGGGTGTGAGAAGATTTGAACAAGGATGAATGAACTATGAATGAAGTGAGTACATATAGGAAACCCTAATTGGGTTGTACCCCCTATGGGATACCCCACTATAGCCTACACAACAGCATAAGCTATATATATGTTCTGACACACCCCCATAGGCAAAGTGGGGGAGAACAAGGGGTCACAAGACCAGTCACGCAAAGCACAGCAAGCTCAGGGTGGATCACAAAGTCACCACACAGTCCGAGCACAACGACAAGGCCACAAGGCCAGTTCACATGCAGGAGTGCACATATATATATAGAGCTAGACAAGCAAGAGCAGGTATATATATGTGACAGTACAAGCAAGGTCAAGAGGAGAGCAAGTGAGGCAAGACAGGTACAAGACCCAGCTGAGTGCAGAAGCGCTGATGGTCACAAGGCGCAAGTGCCTTGGTGAACACATCAGCAGTGTTGGCCTCAGAGGCCACGTACGCAAGTCGCAACTGACCACGCTGCTGCAGCTCACGAGCAAGAAAGTAACGGAGAGCAATGTGCTTCGTTCTGTGCTCCAAGCGCTGCTCTCGACACAAGGCCAGCATGGCCTTGTTATCTACGTACAGCACTGGAGGAGAACGAGGCGGCTCTCCAAGGTCAGTCAGCAGGTAGGTGAGCCAGCGAAGCTCCTGTGCAGCCATGGCCCCGGCGTAGATCTCAGCCTCACAACTGGAGCCGAGAACAGAGGACGAGCGAGTAGCCCGCCACGAGACAGAGCCGGAACCAAGACTGAAGGTGTAACCCTGCGACGACCGCTGCGTAGCCTGGTCGTCAGCCTAAGAAGCGTCCGCGTGCCCAGTGAGGACCACTGGACTCCGCCCTCCAAGCACTAGCCCCATGCCCGACGTACTGCACAAGTAGCGCAACACCCTCTTCGCTGCAGCCATGTGCTCTGGTCGGTGTCTCCCAGGAGCAACATAGCGTGCAAGAATGCTAAGAGGGTATGCAAGGTCAGGTCGTGTGCAGGTCATCAGGTACATGAGGCAGCCAACAAGCTCTGGGTACGGGCTACTCGACTCTACGGACTCATCCGAAGGCAGAGCTGAGAGCGAGTGGCGAGTAGACAGAGGAGTGGCCTGAGGCGAGGAGTACGTGAAGCCGAAGCGCTGAAGGACCTGCTGCACCATGTGTGACTGAGTCAAGGTAATGGTGCGGCGTGCTCTGTCCCGAGTGATCTGCAAGCCAAGGTAGCTGCGCAGTTCACCCAGGTCTGTGCACGTGTGTCTCTTCTGCAGCTCGGACTTCACGTAGGCTAGTCCAGCAGTGTCAGCTGTGGCAAAGACCAAGTCGTCGACGTACACGAGGATGTAGAACGGCGGCAAAGAAGTGTCGGTGCGCAGAAACAACGACGGGTCAGCCGTAGAGGGAGCAAACCCAAGAGCCGCAAGCGTAGTCCTCAGTGTGTCGTGCCACTCACGCGGTGCCTGGCGGAGACCGTAGACTGGCCGTCGGAGGCTCCACTGGGTGCCAGTAGGGAAAGTCCCAGTGAAGCCAGGTGGACGGCGCAGCCAGATCTCCTCGTGCAGGCTACCCTGCAAGAAAGCAGTGCTGAAGTCAAGAGAGTGGAGCTCGTAGTCGCGCTGAGCGGCTATGTGCAGCAGCACCCGAAGAGTGGTCATCTTCGGGGTGGGAGAGAAGGTCTGAAAGTAGTCAACTCCCTGCCGCTGACTGAAGCCACGAGCGACGTACCGCGCCTTGAAGACAGGTGGAGAGCCCGGCGGCCGCTTCACCCTGAAGATCCACATGCCACTGACGATGTTCGCCCCAGGAGGGGGAACCGCGTCAACGTAGGTGCCTGTGGACTTCCAGGACGCCATCTCTGCATCCATAGCTGCCTGCCACTGAGAGGAGTAGGGACCCTCTACGGCCTCCGCGTAAGAGCGCGGAGTCGGGATGTCTAGTGCATCCGGGTCTCCCTCAGGGGCAAGTAGTACGGACGCGAGATGAGGTGAAGCAGCAGCCAGACACTGGAACTCCTCCTGCCTGTCCTCAAGGACGTCCGTGCCAAGAGCACACTCACCCCCGACGGACGGAGGACAGACAGACGCAGACTCAGCAACAAGACCGGCAGCGTAGTCTAGACGACAGCGAGCAGCAAAGTCGACGAGCTCAGCAACAAGAGCAGACGCAGCAGTGGACTCAAAAGAGGGGTCAGTGACGACAGTAGCAAGGAGACGTGTGACAGTAGGACTAGCAGCACGAAGAGAGTCGGACTCTTGGTCGGTAAGTGCAGGAAGGGAGGACTCAGGAGGAGAAGGCAAAGGGGCACGCAGAGGAGCAGTGGACGGACGCAAAGACATCCGGTGCGTGCCAGGGACAGGAGGAGGACGCTGACGCGAACCGCGACCACTAGCGCGAGCAGCACGAACAGGCGACGCAGGACGAGACGCAGGCTCACGACGCTCAGCAAGACCTCCAGTGGGACCAGTGTAAGGAGAGGGAGCAGGAAGTGGGGAGGCGGGCTCTAACTGGGACTGTGACTGAACAGGCGGTGGACACGCTGCAGGAGGAGAAAGACCAAGAACCTGCTGTAGGAGTGGAACGAAGTACGGCCGAGGCCGCGCGGCGACTCCAGACACAGCAGGGACAGCACCCTCAGCAGCAGCACCAGCGCCAACAGCACCTCCAGCGGCAGGACCTCCAGCAGCACCAGCAGCACCCGCAGCAGGACCACCGCCAGGAAGGACAGCAGCAGTCTTAGCACCAACACCCGCAGCAGCTCCAGCTCCAGGCGGACCCGAGGGCCCAGCAGCTCCGGGACCAGCGGCACAAGTACCCTCAGTAGCCGAAGGAGCTCCAGCTCCAGCAGTACGTCTCCAGCGGCGAGCAAACCACTCGCGCAGCTCCTGTGGAGAGAGGGGCTCCCGCCGAGGCGAAGCACCCGGAGAACCGCCAGGTCCCGCACCGCCAGACGCCACAAGGGGAGGTCCAGTGGCCGCAGGCTCCGCAGCTCCAGGCTCAGTAGCTCCGGACGCAGCACCCCCTGGCTCAGCACTCCCAGTCGCAGCACCCCCAGGCTCAGCACCCCCAGACTCCGCACCCCCAGGCTCAGCACCCCCAGTCGCAGTACCCCCAGGCTCAGCACCCCCAGACTCAGCACCCCCAGGCTCAGCACCCCCAGGCTCAGCACCCACGCGCGTAGCACCCCCAGAGTCAGCACCCCCAGGCTCAGCACCCGCAGCAGGACCAGAGTCACCAGCAACCTCGACCGGCTCGACTGCGTCTACCTGGGACACACCTGAAGGGGCAGGACCCTGAGGGGGAAGGGGGTCTACCGGGGGGGGACCTGGCACAAGGAAGTGCGGTGGTGGGGGGAGGGAAGGAGTGCGGTAGGGGAAGAGGCGGTAGAAGGGGACTGACTCGTCGAACGTGACGTCCTGGGAGGACAGAACACGACGAGAGGAGGGGTGGTAGAACTGCCACCCTGGGGCGTCAGGGGGGAAGCCGAGGAAGACACAGGGAGCAGCACGAGGGGACAGCTTGTCCGCAGACAAGTCGCGGACAAACGCCCGAGATCCCCAGACACGGAACGCAGACGCATCGCCGACCTTCCCCGTCCACAGCAGAGCTGGGGAGGTCTCCGGCCGGGAGACCCTGGGGTGAAGGTTGATCTGATGCGCCGCGTACCGAACCGCAAACGGCCACAGAAAATGGGGGGCAGCCGCATGCATCATGGACGTACGAGCGGCGTCCATGACCATGCCAATGCGGCGCTCAGCAATCCCATTTTGCTGTGGAGAGTCCGGAAGCGTAAAGGTCTGGCGGATGCCTCGTGCACGACAGTAGGCTCGCAGAAGGCCAGAGGAGAACTCTCCACCTCGGTCAGAGTGCAGACGCAGAACAGGAAAGTCCGAGCCGAAGCTCCTCCTGAGCTGGAGACGAGCTGCGCGGATCCAGTCGATCAACACCTCAGTGACATCACCCTTGCTGCGCAAGGGGAAGACTGTGGTGTAACGCGAGTAGTCGTCAACCACCAGTAGGAAGTAGCGCTCGTGACCCTGCCCACGGACGCGGGCCGGGCCCCACACGTCCATGTGAAGCGTCTGCAGAGGAGCCTCTGTCGGGGGAAACTGGGAGGAGTGAGGGGCAGCCCGGAGCCGCCCCTCGACACAGGGGACACAGGAAGGTCCGGGTCCCGAAGGAAGGGGAGGGAGAGACCGGGGAAGACCAGAGACAAGGACACGGGAAGCCATGCCCCGAAGACGAGGCAAGGAGGGGTGGCCAAGACGGTGGTGCCACAGGAGAGTCTCCTGAGACAGGCGGCGACACGAGCAGGGGGCAGACTCAGGACCAGACCTGGACGCAGCAGCAAACACCTGACCCGACGCAGCTACCTGGCCAGACGCAGGGACAGGAGGAGACTCAGTGGTCAGGGTGTAGAGACTCGACCCCGGCCGACGCGAAAACGTGGCCAGGTGTCGGCCTGTGCGGGCGTCCGAGCAGTGGGTCACCCGCTAACTCGCAGGAGTAAACTGGTGAACCCCCGCATCCTGCAGGTCAGCACCACTCACCAAGTTCGTCGAGAACGAGGGGAGGTACAGACCAGACTAGGTGCCCGAGGGGGCAGCCGGACACGGGAGGACAGTGGAGAAGTGAGAGAGGACAGGACCCCCAGAGGGGTCAGCCAGGGAGACTGCAACCGGCCGGCCAAGCGGCGTGAGTGTGGTGCGGTCTCGAAAGAAGGAGCGAGAAGCCCCTGAGTCAAGCGTGAAGGTGAGGGAGGCCGAAGCCGACGCAGTACCTGAGAGCGCAGCCTCACCAGTACCTGAGAGTGCAGACGCACTGGCACCTAGAGCAGCAGCCGCAGAAGTACCTAGCGCAGCAGTACCAATGCCCGGGTCGGGCGGGAAACACCGGTAACAGTCACCCTCCTCACTAATAGTCACAGCATACATGGCAGCAAGGATAGCATCAAAGTCAAGATCAAAGATAGCTACGCCAGCCCTAGACAGCTCTCCCCAACGGGGAATCTCACTAGCCTCGGGGAACTGCTGACGCCAAGCGTCCGTCAGGCGGCCAAAGCAGCGCTGGGTGGGGTGGGCACCCCCACACTGCTCACCCGCGCGGTCGCCGGAACGAAGGACGTAGGTGCACGGACCAAAACCCCCACCCCGCTGACGCTGCGTGTACCACTCACGGAGCTGCTGGGGCGGGGGGATGTCCCGCGAACGCTGCTGCTGCTGCTGCTGCTGCTGCTGCTGCTGACGCTGGCCACCACCAGAGCCGCTACGCTGCGGGGCACCACCCCGACCAGCTCCACCCCCTCCGCCACCGCCGCCTCCACCTCCACCACCACCGCTGCCTCCGCTCCCACCGCTGCCGCCACCACCGCCTCCTCCTCCGCTGCTGCCACCGCCACCACCGCCCCCGCCACCACTCCCACCGCCACCCCCACTCCCTCCGCCGCCTCCACCGCCACCTCCACCGCCCCCGCCAGTTCCACCCGCTCCCTTGCCCCCCTTGCCCCTGCCAGGGCGGCGTCTCCCGCTAGGGGCAGATGCCGCGCAGACCGACTCAAGACCAAGCAGGTCGGCAGCAGCAGCAGAGGCAACAGAGGGCAGCAGGGGGGAAGGAGAACACCCCTCAAAGATGGGGGTGCGAGGGTCACCACGAGAGGCTCCTACAGCGACGATGCTCTTCTCCGCCGCCAGGAGGGACTTCTCGAGGAGGTCGACAGTGAGAGTGGTGGGACAGACTGAGAGGAAGTGGTCCCTGACTACGCGAAGGGAGTCAGGGAGGCGTGTGACTATGTAATAGAGAGTGATGTACATGGGGGGGGGGTTCTTGGCGCAGAACTCAGCAGGAAAGGCGGCGCGGTAGCGAGTGTCACTAGTGCGGAGGTGCGTAATGAGGTCAGCGACAGTGGGAAAGGCAGCAAGGTCAGGAAAGAGGTACGGTAGCATGAGGCGGCTCAGGGCAGCAGTGGCAGGGGAAGAGTAGCGCGCAACTACAGCGTCGTACAAGGTCTGAGCACTCTTGTACTGACTAAAGTGCGCGCGCTCAGTGGTAGGCAGGTGGCGACGCACAGCAAGACGTGCAGCAGCATCGCGGGTGGCCCACTGAGAGCGAACAGTGGGGTCAGCATCAGCAGCAGGGGCAGGAGAGGCGCCAGAGGTGAGGTCAAAGAGGGAAAGACCGTCCGCCCTATCGCACTGTAAGAACAGCTGCAGGTCGTCGACCCAGACCTCAAAGTCAATGGCTCGACCCTCAGCGTCAAAAGCGAGGACACTAGGGGTAGCCATGACGACGACAGTGTAGTAGTGCAAGCAGTAGGGGAAGGGCACGCAGTAACAGTGGTGCTGTGCTCACCAGGCAGGGCAGGTCGGGCGGCTCGGCTGTAGGGCGGCCCGGCAGCTGGGCGGCTCGGCGGCTCGGCTGCTGGGCGGCTCGGCTCCCGGGCGGCTCGGCGGCAGGGCGGCTCGGCGGCAGGGCGGCTCGGCGGCTCGGCTCCCGGGCGGCTCGGCGGCAGGGCGGCTCGGCGGCAGGGCGGCTCGGCTCCCGGGCGGCTCGGCTGCTGGGCGGCTCGGCGGCAGGGCGGCTCGGCGGTTGGGCGGTCGGCTGCACGGCGGCTCGGCTGGTGGGCGGCCGGGCGGCTCGGCTGCAGCGTGGCTCGGCGGCGGGGCGGCTCGGCTGCTCTGCTGCTGGGCGGCTCGGCTGCGCTGCTGCTGGGCGGCTCAGCCGCTGGGTAGGGCGGCGGGGCCGCGAGATAGGGCAGCGGGGCCGCGTGGTAGAGTGGCGGGGCCGCGCGATGGGGCGGCGGGGCCGCGAGGAAGGGCGGCGGGGCCGCGAGGAAGGGCGGCGGGGCCGCTAGGTAGGGCGGCGGGGCCGCGCGATGGGGCGGCGGGGCCGCGAGGAAGGGCGGCGGGGCCGCTAGGTAGGGCGGCGGGGCCGCGCGATGGGGCGGCGGGGCCGCGAGGAAGGGCGGCGGGGCCGCTAGGTAGGGCGGCGGGGCCGCGCGATGGGGCGGCGGGGCCGCGAGGAAGGGCGGCGGGGCCGCTAGGTAGGGCGGCGGGGCCGCGCGATGGGGCGGCGGGGCCGCGAGGAAGGGCGGCGGGGCCGCTAGGTAGGGCGGCGGGGCCTCGCGATGGGGCGGCGGGGCCGCGATGGGGCGGCGGGGCCGCGCGATGAAGGGCCGCTAGGGCGGCTCGACGAAGTGAGGGCCCGGAGCGCGACTCGGGCTGAGCGCGCTTCGGGCAGGAAAAAAAAAATCGATGTGGTGGGCCCTAAGCACAGTTCCCAAGGGGGGAACCTGCTCGATACCATGAGAAGATTTGAACAAGGATGAATGAACTATGAATGAAGTGAGTACATATAGGAAACCCTAATTGGGTTGTACCCCCTATGGGATACCCCACTATAGCCTACACAACAGCATAAGCTATATATATGTTCTGACAGGGTGAAGTACTTCAGAGGGTGGTGGTGATAAGGGAGTCTTGGCTGTAAGCATGCGATTGGTTAACCAAATGGTTGGTGTGAAAATTCTACCTGCTTTAGCTGGCTCAAAGTCATTGGCTACTGGCGATTTGGACCAATCCAAGCAATGTTGTGATTCTCTTCCATGAAATTCACGCAACTCGGGTCTGCCGTTTCCTCTCGTTTTTTTTTTTTTTTTTTTTTTCCTAGCTTGCAAGCTTCAGTAACTTCGCCAGCACGTGACGCATTTCTTAATACTTAGCGCGGTTATCCCACCCCACAATTCATACAGCGGTGCACGGGCAACATTTCGCGGGCCATGTGTACAGCGCTCCCAGTTTTTTCCTCACCACTCGCTTCAGCGCTGGCAAAAACTCTGAAGGCGACCAATGGGAATGGCCGATTACATCCAGCATTTGAGGGCGCAGATATCGCCCTGCCTCGTCATGGTGTGCGCTGGATTCGAGCAACCAATGACAATGGCTGGGAATGCCTGCCTCAGCAATGGACATGGAAATGAAGGCCACTGCGCAGAATGAAAACGTGACAAGCAATAGTGGTTCTAGAGCTCTCAGAACACTAAGTAGGATTTTATGTGTGTTATGTTAAGAGGTCTAATTTGACACTTGATCTTCATTTGCTATTTTACAAAACTAAAGGCCTACAATGACACCCCTTTGCTGATCAATATGGTATGTTGCCTGAGTTTCAATCCATTCTAACAAGAACACGCAGTCCTCTTAACAAACCGCCGCCCATGTGCATCATTGCGGGACTTTCCGTCAGTTTGTTTTCAATAACAGTGCCCTCTTCTTCCTTATATTCTGAAAAAATGCTTGCATAATAGCCATTGACCCATCCACAAAAAGATCCCATGTCACAGACAAACAAGATGACGTGAAAACGGGCGTTGATTTGGCACCACGTAATAGCACAAGCCTATCCTTGCACGGTTCTCCCTCCTCGCATGTTTGGAACATCATATATCCCTATGAGATACGGAGAATTACACCCAACCTGTCCAGAATGCTTAGAATATAGTAAATGCTTGAATGATCAAAAGAAACCTTGTTCAAAACAACAAACGGACGTTGATTTCGCACAACGTGTCGCACAAGCCTATTCTTGCACAGTTACAGCCCATCGAACGGACAAACACGAGTCACGTGCTGCATAAATATGCGAATGAGCTCAAACCAGTTCCTATGGCACGGGAATATGATTTATTACATGTAGGTGTGAAGAATAGTGGTAAAAAATGCATCCATATGTTGGCGAGCTGACTTGTTGCACACATGCCTATCCTTGCACAGATTCAGGCCAGCAAATGCACAAACATGCGTCAGGACCTGCGTAGTTGTGCTAACGAGCTCCAGTCACTTCCTATGGCGAGGGAATAGGATGTAATACCTGAAATTGTGAAGAAATAGTGGTAAAAAAAGCATCCAGACGTTGGCGTGCTGACATGTTGCGCACATGCCTATCCTTGCACATTTTCACCATCAAACGCACAAACATGCGTCACGTGCTGCGTAGTTGTGCGAACGAGGTCAAACCAGTTCCTACGGCTAAAAAATAGGATGTAATAGAAAACTGTGTGAATAAATAGAGGTAAAAACAACACCCAGACGTTGAAACAGTGACGTGTTGCGCACAGGCCTATCCTTGCACAGTTTCTGGCCAGCAAATGCACAAACAAGCGCCACGTGCTGCGTAGTTGTGCGAACGAGGTCAAACCAGTTCCTATGGCTAGGAAATAGGATGTAATAGGGATCTGTGTGAAGAAATAGAGGTAAAAACAACACCCAGACGTTGAAACAGTGACATGTTGCGCACAGGCCTATCCTTGCACAGATTCAGGCCAGAAGATGCACAAACGTGCGTCACGTGCTGCGTAGTTGTGCGAACGTGGTAAAACCATGGCTAGGTTATAGAATGTAGTAGGAAATGTGTGAAGAAATATTGGTAAAAATGGCATCCAAACGCTGGCGAGCTGACATGTTGCGCACAGGCCTATCCTTGCACAGCAATGCCCATCAAACGCACAAACATGTGCCACGTGCTGCATAGTTGTGCGAACGAGGTCAAACCAGTTCCTATGGGTGGGTAATAGGATGTAGTATGGAACTGTGTGAAGAAATATTGGTAAAGGAAGCATCCAGACGTTGGCGTAGTGACATGTTGCGCAGATGTCTATCCTTGCACAGATTCAGGCCAGCAAACGCACAAACATGCGCCACGAGCGGCGTAGTTGTGCTAACGAGATGAAACCAGTTCCTATGGCTAGGTAATAGGATGTAGTAGAGAATTGTGTGAAGAAATAGTGGTAAAAAAGGCATTCAGACGTTGGCGCAGTGACATGTTGCGTACAGGCCTATCATTGCACGGTTTCAGGCCAGCAAACGCACAAACGTGCGCCACGAGCTGCGTAGTTGTGCTAACGAGATGAAACCAGTTCCTATGGCTAGGTAATAGGATGTAGTAAAGAACTGTGTGAAGAAATAGTGTTAAAAAAGGCATCCAGACGTTGGCGCAGTGACATGTTGCACGCAGGCCTATCCTTGCACAGATTCAGGCCAGCAAACGCACAAACGTGCGCCACGAGCTGCATAGTTGTGCGAACGAGATGAAACCAGTTCCTATGGCTAGGTAATAGGATGTAGTAGAGAACTGTGTGAAGAAATAGTGGTAAAAAGGCATGCAGACGTTGGCGCAGTGACATGTTGCGCACAGGCCTATCCTTGCACAGATTCAGGCCAGAAGATGCACAAACGTGCGTCACGTGCTGCGTAGTTGTGCGAACGTGGTAAAACCATGGCTAGGTTATAGAATGTAGTAGGAAATGTGTGAAGAAATATTGGTAAAAATGGCATCCAAACGCTGGCGAGCTGACATGTTGCGCACAGGCCTATCCTTGCACAGCAATGCCCATCAAACGCACAAACATGTGCCACGTGCTGCATAGTTGTGCGAACGAGGTCAAACCAGTTCCTATGGGTGGGTAATAGGATGTAGTATGGAACTGTGTGAAGAAATATTGGTAAAGGAAGCATCCAGACGTTGGCGCAGTGACATGTTGCGCAGATGTCTATCCTTGCACAGATTCAGGCCAGCAAACGCACAAACATGCGCCACGAGCGGCGTAGTTGTGCTAACGAGATGAAACCAGTTCCTATGGCTAGGTAATAGGATGTAGTAGAGAATTGTGTGAAGAAATAGTGGTAAAAAAGGCATTCAGACGTTGGCGCAGTGACATGTTGCGCACAGGCCTATCATTGCACAGTTTCAGGCCAGCAAACGCACAAACGTGCGCCACGAGCTGCGTAGTTGTGCTAACGAGATGAAACCAGTTCCTATGGATAGGTAATAGGATGTAGTAAAGAACTGTGTGAAGAAATAGTGGTAAAAAAGGCATCCAGACGTTGGCGCAGTGACATGTTGCGCACAGGCCTATCCTTGCACAGATTCAGGCCAGCAAACGCACAAACGTGCGCCACGAGCTGCGTAGTTGTGCGAACGAGATGAAACCAGTTCCTATGGCTAGGTAATAGGATGTAGTAGAGAACTGTGTGAAGAAATAGTGGTAAAAAAGGCATTCAGATGTTGGCGCAGTGACATGTTGCGCACAGGCCTATCCTTGGACAGATTCAGGCCAGCAAACGCACAAACGTGCGCCACGAGCTGCGTAGTTGTGCTAACGAGATGAAATCAGTTCCTATGGCTAGGGAATCGGATGTAGTAGAGAGCAGTGTGAAGAAATAGTGGTAAAAAAGGCATTCAGACGTTGGCGCAGTAACATGTTGCGCGCAGGCCTATCCTTGCACAG